AATAACACAAAATAGTACAAATAAAGTTATTTATTTCAGTTGCGGTAACTGTAGTCATTGACAGGATATTTCCATATTCAAACTGATTCCCCCATGACTATATGATTGACCTGAAAAATTATCATATACATGGATAATTATGAGCAACACCACACTCAAAGCCATGCGAAACGGCTCTGTATCTACATCAGACGAGCTGCAGCAGAAATTGTGTGTGAAAAGATTGTTTAAAATCAAATTTATTCAAATTAAACACTAACTTTACATTTATTGTCTTTCAATAATTCAAGTGCTTTTCAATGACCATTTCATATATATGGCTGTTTTCAAGGGCTTAAATTTCAAAAAGTCAAATTCAAGTACTTAAAGCATTTTAAGCACCCTGATTATGGAAATATATTAAGCTTGTGTTAACCACAGACCTTATTTCAGGCATTTCAGCAAAACTGATGAAAAAGATTCTGTGGCGAAGAAAACGCAACAAAATACCTAATGCAACTATTTATTGAATTCTCCATTAGTTCTCAATTTAGCTTGTAGAAATTAAAACGTAAATAGCAACATTATAAAATTAAGTAAAACCTGGTCCACTGGTGCTCCCATCATGCATTGGGGCATGAATAATTAATAAGGTTGCATTTTCACTGTTTTCTAGCTGTATTTACATGGTTTTATCATTCCTTTTGTTTTTGGGTTTAGTAACTTGCTGTTGTTTACCACATTTCTTCTATTATCTATATATTTGTTGTCTACATTATCTGTATTATTTACTTAGATGTTCTTAATAGAGCATACACTTTAAAACCATGGTTTTATTCAGTGAATAAAATGTGTTTCTCCCTCATTTCTGTGGCATTTCTTTGAGGTTTAGAGGAATACAGTATTCCTGTATTTTTTTTTTTTGTCTTTTATGAATTTAATAAAGAATTTAGTCTCGTATTCTGTCCAAACACACCGCGGCTTCTACGTCAGGTGAATGTAAACGTGCAAAAACGGTTTCCATTGCAGTTTTGTGAAATATTCCTTTTTCGAATTGCCTGAAAAACCACCTCATGCAACCTTTTTTGCGATAATCGGGAAATTGGCGCGTTTCCATTGTGCGTATTTTCAATTCACAATTTCAATTTGCGCAATGTGAAGGATAATGGAAAACGTGGCTAGTGTTACAGTATATCGTTTGAGTAAAATATACTGTACTTTAAAAAGGAATTGCAAAGTAAACATCAACTAAGTAGAAATTACTCAAACTGGCCAAGTTAAAGTTACTTATTTTTAGGGATGCACGATATATCGGCCACATTATCGGTATCTGCCGATATATGATCATTTTTAATTTTATCATTATTGGCCCAATAAGAACATTTAACCGATATCTAAAAGCCGATAAATAATGTATTTATGAGGCACTTTAGATGTGCACTGTTCAACATGATGCTTTTAAATTGCTTGAAATACGATTGAAATCACTTTAAAAAAGGAAAATCCAGTTAAAGTGCAAAATGTGTGTCATATCAGCTACACAACATTAAAATAAGAACATCATAATTGTGTTTGTATCTTGGCTTTCAATGAGGAAAATCGAAAATTGTCTAAAAATTTGGATTTAGATTTATCGGCCAAAATATCGGTTATCGGCTTTCAAATACAAAGAATTATCGGTTATCGGTATGGGCCAAAATTGTCATATCGGTGCATCCCTACTTATTTTTGAAGTTTACTTTTAAAAAATCTGTGCAAAAACTTGCAAAGGAAAAATTAAATACATTTAACTAATTTCCGAGTAGGGTTCACGATGTGCAAGATCCCCAAAACTCAACACTAAGGGTTTTAAAAGTCAAAGTCAAAGACAGTACGTACACGATACTTACATACATACTTTGAGCTAGTTAGCAACAAACATTGCTTTTTATCAGTATTTTGTTGAACATACAAACACATGTAATCTCAACAATGAACATTTGATTTGAAGCATTACCTATTTCAACAGGGAATTTCCATGAAATCATAAACTGCATATATTAAATGCCATGTAAATCACTTTGAATAAAAGCAGATGGTAAATGTTAATGCTGTCAATACTGAAATGAGTCCTACAATGAGTGTTCAAAGGCTCTCTGGAAATGAGTCATTTCTTCAGATCAGATTTTTTCTCAGTCTCAATGTGTTAAGTAGAGAGATATGAATCAAGAGGAAATATTAAATGATCTCACTGGGTATGTAGGCTAAACCTACCGAGCCCACTTAAGTTCAAACACAGAGCAAAGAAGCTTAGATATTAAAAGGTGTCCTGAAATTGTAGTGATTTTTTGTGTGAAATGAACATGGTTCAAGTAACTTCCTGTATTTTGAGTGCCTGCCATCCATCAGTCGACTTTGTTTTGGAAACATGAATCTACATGTGACTGCACTGACAAGACAAGCTTCAGTGCAACTACAAGAGGAAGTGACTGTGAACCATTTCACAAAAATAATTCTGCTTTGACAGCTAGAAGAGTGTGAACTTTACACCGTGCCCTAAAATGCCAAAGACAATAGACTTGCCATGCCACTTCTTGACCCTAGCAGAAAAGATGACCTTAAAGTCACCTCAGTGCTCACTTAAATGATCCAGTTTGGTATCCTTACAAAAGTGTTTGTTCACTGTTTTTACAATGGTTAACAACAGCATTTAAGTTTCCTCATATCTCAGCAATTCATTCTTGCAATATTGATACCAGTAAACACAGGGTTTGGAATCAAGAACCAGTTTCGCTTAAAATGTATTATTTTATAGCAAAATAATAGAACAACAAACAATATCTATCTAGTATCTATATTGTGCAAATATTCAGCATGACTAGAGAAGCTTGATTCAAACAGATGAATCATTATGAATATTGGGTATGTTAAAGGAGTAGTTCACTTTTAAAAAAAACTTTTGCTGATAATTTACTCACCCCCATGTCTTTCTTTCTTCAGTCGAAAAGAAATTAACAATTTTGATTAAAACATTTCAGGATTTTCTCCATATAATGGACTTCAATGGGAACCAAATGGTTCAAGGTCCAAAAGACAGTTTCAGTGCAGCTTCAAAGGGCTTTAAACGACACCAGACGATGAATAAGGGTCTTATTTAGCGAAACCATCAGCCATTTAAAAAATAAATAACAAAGTTTAAGTTTTATAAGCTCAAATGCTCGCCTTGCTCTGTTCTGTGATGAGCGTTCATGACTCTCCTGTTCGGACTCGTTCATCTTTTTCCGAGTCGAAACGAACGAATTGACTCGGAAAAAGATTCGTTCATTTTGAACAGGAGAGTCACACAGTGCAGAGCAAGGCGAGCATTTGAGCTTATAAAACTTAAACTTTGGTATTTATTTATTAAATGAGCGATTAAATGACCGTTTCGCTTGATAAGACCCTTATTCATCGTCTGGAATCGTTTAAAGCCCTTTGAACAGTTTGCAGTTTGCACTGAAACTCTCATTTGGACCTTGAACTGTTTGGACCCCATTGAAGTCCATTATATGGAGAAAAATCCTGGAATGTTTTCATCAAAAACCTTAATTTCTTTTCGACTGAAGAAAGAAAGACATGGATATCTTGGATGACACGGGGGTGAGTAAATTATCAGCAAACTACTCCTTTAAGGCTTTTGAGACTTGCATCAGCGTATGTAATTAATGGTTGATTGTGACATTTTTACATTGCAATTTAAAGTACGAATCCTTGTGAATCCCATCCCATTTCTTGCACTCATTCTTAAACTGTTGCACAGAGAAGAATACAAAAACTGTTATCTGCCAATCGGGTAGTTCTTGTTTTTGCACCGGTGTGTGTAATCTAGTCTCGTCCGAGACTAACGTTCCTGTCCTATTGCTATCTCAATTAAACAAACCCCATGTATTCAGCAAGGATTGACCTACACAAAGGGCCATTGTTACCAGTGACACACAAGGCACGTCCAGATCCTCACTTTCTCCCTCGCAATCAGGCCAACGGTCACATTAGCATCGCTTTCAATGGGAGAACGGCCACCAATGGCAGCATGTATCAAATCCCCTGCGCAGAGACACGACAGACGCGGCGATCGAAGAGGGAGGGAGATGCACGGCGAGGGCCCGCCACGTGGGATTCTCCGCAAACAACGCCGTTTGCAACCAACTGACTACCAAAGCGTCTCTCATCCCAGATAAACAGCCTTAGGAATTTAATGAGCCATGGATGACTCGTCCTAAACCTGCTAGTTACTCTATCAAATGCACTAACGCTGCCTTAAAGTCATCGTATTTATGAGCTCACTGAGCCCCAATGTCATAATTATCAGCGGAAAAACTCATTCTTTCTGAGTAAGGAGTGTGTCAATTAAGGTGAATATTTACTGTATAAACATTTTATTGCCTGAAAATACTTCTCATTCCATCCATTTTTCAAGTGTGTGACCAAACTACATTTCCCATCATTCACTAATAAATGATAAAACACTAGGACTGTAAGTGTAACATTAATTTAGTGTGATTAGTGACTTAAAAATATGCAAAATAATTATAAAAAAAAAATTATGCATGATTAGTGACTTAAAAATATGCGAAATAATAAAAAAAAAAAATTATGCATGTAGAAAAGCAACAAATATTTCCACCAGAATGCAAAAAAAAAAAAATTGTGTGAATGACTCAACGGTAAAATGGATTGTTGTGGATTTTGACTTTTTGTCAATTCAATGATTTACTCAAATGTCAAAATCATCTTGATTTCGGCACTTTTTTAGCTAATATTGATATGCAATTAATCCAAATGAATAATCGCACATGAAATTCAATGACAGCCGTATGAAATATACAATATATTTGAAGTGTCAGCAGAAACACATCATTTGCTGTTCATTCACGGTTAAAAAGATTCCTGTCTTTGTCGGGAAGTGAGGAAGAAATATGGACCTGCCCAAAGTAAGTATCCAATGCATTCTGAATAAAAACACATCATAATTAATATTTCGTAACTTCTAAGTAAGAACCTGCCTTTCTAATGGAGCTCGAGGAAGATTGGAAGTACTTCAGCTCAAGAGGAAAGCACTATTTTTACATTTGCAACCCAGTTTTGGAGCATCCACCTATTGGATTAGTGCCACATGTAACCAAGACAACTGCGGCCTTTGGAGATCTTGGGGTATTTCCCTCCTCCTGGTCGGGTGGAAAGAAGAAAACAGATAATAGGGAGGCGGAGGATGAGGAGGAGGAGACGTCTAGCTGATAAGTGACGAGCAGCTGCAGGCGTTACACAGTCACCTGCAAACAAAGGCCAGATACCATCAACACACACGGCCGGTGACGCATTCGACAAACTGGGTGGATGAGGCGTGACTAGTGATGAGAATTACACACGCAATTTACTTAACGACTCCGATTGGGATTTCTTTAAAAGCTTCTGATAAAGTAAATCTTAGAAATGCTCAGTTTAAAATTCCAGTTCACTTTGAGAACGGGATTCCCAATCCGAGTCAACGACATCACTGTAAAAATAATCATTTTTACTATAAAAATGTTACTTTTTACATTTACTATATACGGTAAATAACTGTGATAGATCTCATGGTACATTTAATGTAATTTTACTATAAAATACTGTTAAATTTACAGTTTTTGAAAGGGAAAAAGAACAACTCATTGTATAATTTACAGTGAAAAAACATAAATTGACATTCCCACAATTCCATTGAAGTGACGCTTCAAATTTTATGAATTTTTGTTGAGATATAGTTCCTCATAATTATCTTTTTTGTTGTTGTACATTTGGGTTTTGTTACATTTAATGTTTATTGCATGCGTGTTACCATGATGGTGTTTAATGTACTTTTACTATACTTTTGTGTGCTGAAACTATATTTTATATAAGTATTAACCGTCTTATGGCAGAGCTGCTTGTGATGAGCTTTGATTGATCATGTGATTCATCTCTGCCGTAATTGTTGGTTGTCAGTGTATTACAATGGTACAAAACAGATATCAATACTTCAATAGGTTGGTAAATTAACATCGGATAATGAAATACGGTTTATTACTGTAAATTTTAAGTTAAGTCTGTAAAACCAATAACGCTGCTACCGTATTTTTGACGGTAAAGTTCTGGCGAGCCAGTTTTTTTACCGTAAAAATTACGGTTTATTTTTTACAGTGATAATTTAAACTAGGAAAAAGAATAAGCTCAATAAACGCACATCAAGAATTAAACGTCTATCATCTCTAAAGCTAAGTGAGCCACACAAAAGCTTGTCTTCGTCACTGACTTAACATGCAACCACGTATTATGGTTTCCAATCATCATCTGGCATATTCGCCATTGTTTCAGTTCTCAACATGCATGACATATTTTGCTTTGGGTGAAACATGAGTCATGACAGACCCAGAGTTTCCCTTGTGTGTTTAGTTCCACTTCTAAGACAGGACATCCCATAATGTCTGCAACACCCATCCGGAAAAAATACCCATTCAGCCAATTCACATCCTCATAGTGAACACTTCCGTTCTCTACAGGCATTCCTGAATGCATCTCAAAAGTGTTGTGCCTCAGTGATGTAGGCGACAAAGAAATGAAAGCAGAACTAACTTGAGTGACCCATTAAAACACACCAGTGAGGGGTTTCATTCAACATTCACTCGAGAACGAGACCGGGACTGAAAAAAATCCCAGAATTCATAGATCGACCCGTCATCTTATCTCTAAATTCCTGCAGAGGTATTTACAATCAATATTGTTATCGAAGAATGTATTGAATGAAATGAACACTATCATTTGATACATTCACCTTTCATGAAGATGACACTATAACAAAACGTTCTTCCATAATATGACGTTTTGAGCGACACATGTTATTGAATGAAGAAAAAAATCATGCATTAAATGTATGCATCAAGAATTGATTGGATGGTGTTTGATGATGTCAGCGGAAAAGGAAAGCCGTTTCAGAGTCTTTATGATGCAAATAGTTATATTTTAAGTTAACACATTTTATGATTGAAATGTAACAATTTGCGTTATGATGTGCACTTGAATCTTTTTCAATAAAACCAAAAACGTGTTTTGAGAAGGTAAAAACGTGTCCATTTTGATTTCATGTTGACCTGAAGGCTAAATCTGACCATAACACTCTCAAAATAAATACGTTTTTGCACTTTCTCCATACGTTTTCGTACGGTTCTGCGATTTGAGCTTCACGGCTCTTTGGAGGGCAAAGAACTTCTTGATGTTTCATTAGAGGCTCTTCAGATCAGTGCTTTAAAGCACTCGTTTCCTAAAGAACTACACAATTAAAAAAATATTGTGAAACTTAAAGGGATATTCCACTTTTTTTTTTTTTTGGAAATAGGCTCATTTTACCACTCCCCCACAGTTAAACAGTTGGGTTTTACCATTTTCGAATGTATTCAGCTGATTTTTTGATATTTAGAAGAATATCAGTAACCAGACAGTTTCTGGTCTCATTGATTTCCATAGTATATTTTTTCCCTACTATGGAAGTCAATGAGACCAGAAACTGTCCGGTTTCTGATATTCGTCTAAATATCAGAAAATCTGCTGAATGGATTTGACGACGGTAAAACTCAACTGTTTAACTCTGGGGGAGTGGTAAAATTAGCCTATTTCCAAAAAAAGTGGAGTATCCCTTTAAATTTTAGGAGACTAAAACCTTTTAACTTCCAAAAGTAAACCAAAGACTCACTGCAAATTTAAAAACCACTGGGAGTCTGTTCAGCTGGCAGTTAAACAACATCTTTTATATTGTCGTCTTTGTGTGCTGTTTATCTTGGGTCTTGCGGTTAAACAACGTCTATTGAAATTGGAAAACTGACCAACCCTCAACCCTATTAACCTCACAATTACATTTAACTCAATTAATCTATTTGACATCCATGAGGTACCACTTCTTAACTAGGGCTGAGCGTTATAATAATACCATTCAATGAGAAACCAATACACAACCAATCCCATCTACACACAAAATTGTTCAGTTGAAAGTAGGGCCGTCAAACGATTAATTGCGATTAATCGCATCCAAAGTAAAAGTTTGTGTTTACATAATATATGTGGGTGCACTGTGTATTTATATATGAAGAGTTCAGATGCAAAAGCCTCTAAATGCCATTTGAAATTTTCTTCTTTAATGTTGATTTTTATCAAACTTGTATATTTAAGTTCAGTAATTTCACTTAAATAACAATTAATAGGTAATTATCATTGCCATTTAAGTGAAATTACTGAACTTAAATATACAAGTTTGATAAAAATCATCATTAAAGAAGAAAATTTCAAATGGCATTTAGAGGCTTTTGCATCTGAACTCTTCATATATACATTCAAAATAATTATACACAGTGCACCCATATATATTTATGTAAACAAAACACAAACTTTTATTTTGGATGTGATCAATCACAATTAATCGTTTGACAGCCCCAGTTTAAAGGAATTTAATTGGGGGTAAATCTCAATATTTTGGGGTTTCTTACTTTTCCAGCCGACAATCTCTTGCAATTACTGGTGTCAAACATTAACCTCTACACAATGCATGTGACCACAGCGTCATAAAAACATCTTGAGATGAGAATTCCCACAGCTGTTAACTTTCTCGTGAAGTAATGCCATGCCAAGACCTAAGCTTCGGCATTTAAGGGATTCAAAATCACTTTAGAATGATGTGAGAAAAACGGGCTATGAATTGGAGATGTGATCATTGACATAATAAGTTGTCGTGACTTGAGCCTTGGGGAAAAGTAGCAAAGGATATTCAATCAATGAGTAGACTTGATCTGAAAGCGATTATCCAGTGAACAGATTGCATCATGTCAATGAGGTCAAGCTTCCAGTGAATGGAGCTCATATGGACGCCGCAGCAGGCAACGGACTGGCTTCTTTTCAAAGCGTTGCAAGAATGGCTTGATGTTTACCAAGACCTGAGAGGAACTAGCCCTACGTTATTTACCCAGTTAAGTTAACTCAAATGTTTCCTGTCAAAAACATCCCTGACACTGAGTGTAGGTGTTATGACTCACATAACCCATGACAGTGACTCAGTACAATGTTTGTAACACATTATAGTTTCATTTACACTAAACAGCAGTGATCATCTGCATTTATTTATTATTTTTGATAATAAATGCCAGTGGCAATATCTAGAAACGAGGAAGTGCTACAGATTCAACTAAACACTTATTTACTCATCCAATTTACAAAACAATATTTGACAATAGAAAATGTGCACAATTCATCAACAAGACACTGTTATTTGATCACAGTTACGGCCCAATGGTGATAATCTCAAAAATAGCTAAATAATAATGAACCCAACCATCCTTGATAAAGCACCCTAAGAGTCTTGCTGTTGTGTTACTAAGTTCACATCTTTATGTAAACCACATTAAATTAAAACACTTTATTCCAATTAAAAATATTTACATGATGGCAAATATCAAGCATTAATAGCTGACATTAAGAACCGTGATTTTCCGTAAGTATTATGCATGTTTTTAACTAAAAAAAAACAACAACATGGGGTTTAAAAAATGGTCTCACCAAAGCACTATTTAATAAGTTGATTAAACTAACGTTAGTTAAAATAAACTAAATGGCAAGCATCTAAAGCATATACACTTTCCCTTATTAATTCAAATAAATATAATTGTAACATTATGATGCGCATTAGAATCATTTTAGACCCAAATATATCACATATTATGGTCTTTAAGTAAAAAAAAATGTTTTAAAAAAGTTCATATTCAGGTTATTAATCACCTACTCACATATACAAATATGAAAAGACAATAGAATCTCGTCACAAAACGAATGGAACGTTGAAACATTTTAAATCGATTAGTTGTTGCGCGCGAATTCGATTTCAGAAGCAAAGACAAAGACTAACGCTCAAAATGATTTAACATATCGGTATTCCACTCAGAAGTGCGTGAGAACACTTGAGCAAGTGTCCTCGACCACAAAAGAAGTTGTTTGCTGGATTCGAGCACATGGCAGAAGCGAAGGAATGCTCGCGCGTTTTAACGATTCCGTTTAAGAATGCCGTGAAATTCGACATGTGAACGACAACAAACAAGAGCACTTGAGAAACAATACAGGAACCGATTCCGAAGCTCAGCCTGATATCCGCCCATGCTTTTTCACGTGAACTTGTCTGTAGAATGTTAACTTTCTGCGCTAGTCACACACATATAAACTCCATCGATACCACAGAAAGCGCCGAACTGGATTTGGTTACTCACATGCAAGCGCGCGGACCCGTATTCCGCTGAAGCGCGTCAGTAGTCGGAGAGTGTTTCAGCCTCAAACTGTTTCCTCCATCCGCGCTGCGCACAGATCACGCCGCACAGCAACGCTACCAAACCCCTTTCTCGTTGCCAAGGCAACAGACCCACTTCAGCCAATCATAACCCCTCCCCTTCGAGATCCCCTGGCAACTGCAGCAGCGCGCGCGAGCGCTAGTGGTGAAGCTTCTTGGCGCGCGCCATTCCACTCTATTTAATGTGTTTTCACCTTTTTTCCACCTCTCTTCCTTAATACGAATCCGCTGTTTAATCTCAGCGGCTGTTTGTTTTCTGTTCTTTTCCATTTAATTTGTAGTTAAACCTAAATATTTCCAAACTTAGTGTTTGAGTTTGATGTAAACTAATTTGGGCTTTTCCTTTTCACACGCTCTTAAAGATAAAGGTTCCCTTTTTGTTGTTGGTATCAATGGATCTATTAAGGACACACGTGGACTATTTCCATTGCACAAAAGCTTCTTTAAAGTGCAAAAGGTTCTTCAGATTATTAAAATGTTATTAACATGAAATCTTCTTTCATGTTGTAAACTGAGTTATTGGTACTATTTTTCTCTCAGATGGTGAAACTAAACACAGTGTGTGTGAAAGTGTCTGTAACAGATACAGGGCGTGTGAATATTTAACGAGGTAAGCACTGTTAAAGTAGGCATGAAGCGAAAGTTCTGATAGTGTTCTTATGTTGTGACTTTCAGTCCCCATGATGTTATCAATATGCTTGTGTGCTCCAAAACAATGACAAAATTCACATTTAGAAGACGTTTCACGTTTCTCACTTCCACCAATATGGATCAATGATTTTGATGACATCACTCTGCACTTCAGCTTCTCATCAGCTTTTCTGTCCAATCAAATGCACTCTAGAATCTGAAGCCCCACCCCCTACATTATAATAGACTCTGAACCTGCGGCTGAAATCAGTCACTTGTTCACATTTACTATTTTCTACATGGTGAACATAGTGCACTATATAGGGGATAGGGTTCTTTCCATTGAGGCGAATGAAGTCTGGTTTCCAGAGACAAGACACACAGAGCGAATCATATCGAGTCGCTCAGACCAGAAAACAGATCGGACCTGTTTGATATTCTGCACTGAATGTTGTATTTTAAAGCGATATGGAGGAGATCAGGAGAAACGATTTAAAGATCAGGAGGAAACTGAAGCTTTACCGAAATTAACGGCTCTGGTGGATCTGTGATATAAACCAAACGCTATTGGCTATCTTTAAAAAGGGGAGGAGCTTGTCAATATGCCCCGCCCCATTTTCCTGTTTCAGTACACCAACACATTAAATAATGCTGAAGGCACTTCAGTCAGCCTTTGAAAGAAATGGCTTCTCGAACAAGAATAAATGTAGGGCGGGGCTTGATTTTGCCCATGTGGAATTAATGTGGATGATTGTGGTTTGCTATTGGTTGATCATGTGAGTGACAGGTTGCCCCGCCCTCAAGAGAAAAGATGTCGCTCGAGAGAGGGGAAATGATTTTTGATGAAACATTATGAGGCACATTAATTAAAAATAATAATAATACTATTGCATAAAAATAAGAATTATCTATTTTAATTTCATGGTGACTTTAAGTGAACCGTGAACCTAAACAACTAAATAACATTTCTTTGGCTGGTGCACATTACAAGTGTGAAACGTTGTTTTACTCAAGCTTTAACAGGACTTTAACCCAAGGTGAAGCACACTGTAAAAAGCCCCGGTGTTAAAGGTTAAAAGCACAGTAAACCCCTCAAGTGCTTGTTTAATCAACCGTAAATGACTTTATGAAACAGGCAGTGTTTTCCAGGGGAAATTATTTCACAGACTGACTGTAACCCGTAAACGCGTACAAGAGGATTAAGCAACAGGGCTGGAGGAGACAACAACTGGATGACCTCATCTCACCAAAGTGCTGTTCTCACACAGGGTTGCAAAGGCTTCTCACTCACGGCATGCAGCGAGAACGCTAGCATCGCCTCAAATGGAGGCAAGACGTCTGGATTTCCGCTATTCGAGCCACTGCAGGCAAAGAAAACCACAGTATTGTTGATTGGATGATTGATGATAAGGAGGTTTCAAGCACCACTAGCCTAGTACTTACGTGCTGTGAAACCCATAGTTTAATGATAATCCCGGGGGGATTTATACCAAGAGGAATTCAGGTCATTGTAACAGTCTGTCCTTATGAAATACGACACTTATCTAGTCGTTTAACTGGACGAACAGGATTTCTCGAGTCTTTCGCAATGGAAACGAACCCTTTCTGTTGTTGCAGTTTATTTTAGGCGCTGGTATCATGGGATATCATATCAAACGCGCCGTCTTTGGCTCATATGATGTTTTATTATTTGCATTACTGTTCATTTTAAACACTTAAAGAGGACTGAATGTATTTTCTCACATCTTGCGTGACAGGACTGCACGTGTGATTCAGTGTGTGTGTCTATGCAACACATTGTCACTCGTAAATTAAATGTGGTAAACTGAAAGTGCGTAGATTCTTTAATGTGTTTTGCAGATGAGATATTGTTTTACATGCTGAAAATAAAAGATCTTTTGTTTTTTTAGGACACGTATATGTTTTTCCTGGAACAACATACCTGTCAGCCAATCAGATTGTAGTGTTTGGTTTAGGCTTAGGGTTCCGGATTGGGCTTTCGTGAAAATCTTGGCTTCTTTTTTTTCCTGTATTTCTAGGGATTTCACAGATCTATCGGTCGTTTGAAAATGATAATGAAAATGATAAATGCTGATAAGGCGACTAGCTGAAATAAAATAAGTATTACATTTCAGCTACTGTTTATTTTATTATAAACAAATGGTTTCCAATGGTTTTAGCATCAGTTAACTTTACTGCTTCACACCTTTTTTCAATGCAAATCCAAATAATCCAAATATGCTGTTTGAAAAACAGGGCCTTAGATTTGAGAAAAATGATTTTATAAAAAGTTTCCACAGAGAAATAAAAGCATGTGGTTCTGAGTAAATAATATTTTACATTTTGGAAGTATTATTTCATATTTGCTTTAAAGTCCCTATGAAATCAGAATTGACCATACTTACTTTGTTTGCCTAAATTGATCGTTTTGTGGTGAACAATTCATACATGCAAGTCAATCCACACAAAAAAATTTTTTGGCTTCGTAATCTTTAATCAAAGTTTGAAAATGCCCCTCCCCTCTGCATTGGAGGACCTTGCCCGATGACGTAGGCTTTACGGTTTGGGCGTCTCCTTAACATCCATAACCACACCCCTCCAACTGACAGCTGCTGTGTGTTTGCGAGCGCCGAGCGAGCATTGATTGACAGCGTGTGTAAACTTGCGTTCTAGATCCAATCAGGTGCTAGTTAGAAAAAAAAGCCACGCCCACTATTTTGCCTCATTTAGTATTCCGTTTCTCTCCGAAATACGTCACAACACTGGAGAAAAGTCGTTTGCAACTTCCGGTTCACGGGGACTTTAAAAAAAAAGCATTGATCGAGGAACTCGCCCGAAGCAAAATCAAAGTCACCGAGAAGGATTATTGTGAAGTGTCGGAGGACGTTTACGTCCTTTCAGTCCTTACTGTAGCATTATGTTCCTGATCAGAGCTATTCATAGAGCTAAGAGGCACTTTGTGAGATTCCCCGTTCTCCCACAAGCCCTGCCATAATTCCCAGAGATAATGAAGTTGCAGTGCCAGTGGTTGGGAGACAAGATATAACACTAAACTTGCCAATAGAGCTGATTGGAGATCAGCCTTTTAAAAAGACTGGTCCAATCTAATCAGATTGAGGAACTAAAAGAATTGAAGGAGACCGACTCGGAGCAATTGAGTTACGACATGTTTTGGCCTATAGGAAGCTTTTGAGCAATCATGTAAATAGACTCGAATAAGAATAAATGTGTCTTTGTGTTGCTTCTGAGGACAAAGAGTGTGTTAAGAAGCCACTTGTTTGCCATTGGGGTTGGTGTTTGAGCACCATTTGCCATGCAGGACATGATCCACAAATAGACATGGTCCTTGAATAACGTTTCTATGCAACATCCTTAACGTTTTCACTATATCAGACTTGGTTGATGAGCTTGTATAAGGTGTGTTCACGCTTGTAGTTCGGTTCTCCTGGTCCGCTTAGAGTTAACACACTTTAAACACAGATCCTAAATTTTAAAATCATTTTAACGTCACGGATGGATAAGTCGAACCACGGAGCTGAACTGTATGAACGTAGTTTGTGGTTCGACTTGTTTTCCAAAGACGGCTCCTGCCCATATACACAAAGTGGACTGTCCAATAAAATATCTTAATTCTTCGTTTTGCATGTCTGGACCCTCATTATGTTACTGTGTTAGTGTGGGGCTATTTTGAGCCTTGTTTGTGATATTAACTAGTGATTTCTTTTTAACTTATTATATGCCCCCATTACTTGCATTTATATGCCCCCATTACTTAGTACTATACACTAAACAGTTTTTAGAGATAAAACACTTTACATTCGATTATCATGAAAATAAATCTCAGAGAACGGTTGACTAGGTACAGATGCGTTATTAGACCATAGGTTCATTTTGTGCTGGGGTTCTCCTTTAAGTAAAATAGGTTGCGAGTTGATTCAGGGCACATTCACACGACAACGATGTAAAAACTGAAAAGTTTTGTGTACAGACTACACCAATGTCAAAACGATCCCAGTTCACACGGATCCGCGAAAAACAACTAAAAACACTGTATTATTCATGCCAGGCCAGTACGCATCACGTCACTGTTTACACAAATTCATGTTTTTGTGGATTACACGGTGACGATAACAGGATCGTTTTCAAAAACTTGCACTTTGAAACCCGTTTTCAAAAGTTTTCATTTTTCAGGCGTCTGTTGTCGTGTAAATAAACTGCCAAAATGCATACATTTTTTTTACGTTTTTTAGTTGAAAAGGGTGTTTTGGCTACTCATTGCCTTATTGATATTTCATTACATACATTTATGCATTTAGCAAACGCTTTAATCCAAAGCGACTTACAAGAGAGGGAAAAAAGCAATTCATCAGAGAGCCATGACAAATAAAAATCATAAATCTTGGAAGTGAAAGTGA